GAAAAAAAATCGCACATGTACAAAGTAAAACGTAAGGGATGTAACGTCGCTCATTCAGTGAGTAAAACCAGGGAAGTAACGAGTAACTTTTGAAGTATTTTTGCTAGAATTTTTATTTTTCTGGTTGTTCCCATTGCTGATAAGAATAACATATCTACCAAACGCGATATCTGCAGGACATTTCTGATAACATGTTTTGTATTTTTATAGTACAAGCAATAATCTTTTCCGCTACTCCTTGAAATTGTGAATTCTTAACTTTTGTTCTTGTCATTTTTGGAAGTTCGTGAACTTAACACCCTATAAAAATTGGGTTTATTAGAAATACGTACTCGCTTCACAAAATATCTTCAGAAATGCAACTATTCGTAATAACTGTGACTGACAACGTGATATCGGCTACTAATGCAGCTGAATTTTGAAGATCACAACGCGTGGTATGCTGTACAAGAATACAGTCAATACGTGCACAAAGAAGGTTTTTTTTTTCAATTTCTTTGATGCAGTTTGGAGATATCATAGTCTAGATTACTTTTAATGGTATATCATGTTAACATGTATTTGTGACAGCGTGGTCTCGCGTAGTGGTTTTTCACAGTTCTCAGAGTCATTCGTTTTAATATGCATCCCCGGAAGGTTTCATCAGAATCGTTGTTATATTCCCCATCTCTCATAAAATAGAAGTATCCGGTGTATAAGATCCTATTAGCTGTTAAAGGAAATGCACTCCAAGATATATATATATATATATATATATAACATCCGGCGTGATTGATGAAACAGCTTCAGTGATCCGTCCTTTCAAATGGTCCAAATTTGTTATTTGGACAGAGAACACTTGTTGCTTCACATAACCTCACGAATAAAAGTCCATAGGGGTAAGATCTGGAGAGCGTGGAGGCCAGGCTATCCACCCTCCTCGTCCGACCCATCGCTGAGGAAATTTTTGGTTTAGGTGATCCCGCACGAATGTGGAAAAATGTGGAGGAGCTCCATCTAACTGGAAAATGAAATTCTCCGGTATTTGGAGCACTGCATACCCTTCTAACATATCCAGGAAGTTCTTCCCCGTCACAGTTTGTTCAGCAAAAAAGAAGGGGCCAATAACTCTGTCTCGTCCAATTGCGCACCACACATTAACTTTCGGGTTATCACGTTGATGTTCCATAATGGCATATGGAGGTTCATTACCCCATATTCTAACATTATGCCGATGGACTCGTCCCGAAACATGAAACGTAGCCTCATCACTGAACAAAAATTTGTCTAAAAATTCCGCATCATGATCTGTTGACCTAGTAACACAGCGCATGCGCTTGTGCTAGAACCTGTTTAAGTATAGAAAAACTGGGGAGTTTCTCTTTATTTAGACTTTTATTTCATGTCTCTAACGTGCTTTGTTCCAAAACTATGACTGTGTGTTACCCCACCATTATTTTACGGACATACTGTATAACTCTTTCAGCGTTAGAAACGAGAGTCAACAAGCCTTTCGCTGGAGTGAAATTTTTTTTCAGAAAGTTATATACAAATTTAACATTTAAGCTTAAGAATATAAGTTTATAAAACGTCATTCTAACAAATTTAGGGAATTATGAAATACCAAAAACTGTCAAACATTCGTACTTTTTCAGCCGCCCTTTTTTGCTATCAAATTTACGAATTATAAAATGCTCTCAATATTTCAACTATAAATGTTATTAAAATTATCACAGAATTTTAGAAATCGTATTCTCGAATAATTGTCTAATTCTTTCAATAATGTCTTATTTATTGAAATAATATTATGTAGAACATTACCAACTGACGAAAGTGTTTTTGCTGTTCGTAACGTTTCGGGAGTTCTTTTAACTCACGTTTTCAGATGATAGGTCAATTGTTGTCAGTAAACTAACTTATGTATTCATTTTCAATATTAGCAGCGACGACTGGATTCGAACCTCAGATTTTCTAATACCAAGTTTGTACGATAATCACCAGTAAAAAATATGAATTAAAACAAACTAAATGTAGAAAAAGGTATTACATTATAGTGGCACAGTCACGTGGCAACAGAAATAGACGGCTGTACTTCGGAACGTCGTACCTGAGACAATACAAGTGTCCAGCATAATAGAATATTCGCATAATATAAGGAAACATCTAGTTTTCGAAATATGTTTTGGAAGAAAACCAAGAAGATGAATAATGCCTATAACAGTCGTTTGCTAACACACCATTACCACAAATATTTACATGTATATAACAATCTCATTTATATATGTGTGAACTTTATGTAGGTCAAAAGAGGGCGTGTCATATAAAAAATACTTTCAAAAAATATGAATATTTAGACAAGCAAAAAGGCATCAGTAGGTTTACTGCAATTCAAGAGCATCGTTGTAAAGATACTAAAGGATATATGTCCCTTAAAACACTAGTACAAGTTACTTGAACGTTTCTCCATCTACCAAAGACGGGCAGGTTTTTTATTATGTGCAACCAGAGTGCAATATTTTTATTATATGTAGATTTTATTTCATATTCTTTAATAAATGAAACTTTTGATAAATATTTACACTTTATTTTGTAACATGATGACTTATTTTAAAACCATTCTTCACACCCGACATAGAACATAAAATATGTAGACAGGAGATGAAAGTTTTGTAGGTTCTTGCGCAACAGAGTCTGGTAGAAATTTCGCTTCAGATGTTCATATAAAAAAAAATAGTGGGCTTACAAGTTCTTAGTGAATTATACTTACACACATGCGGGTTTGTGTCTTGTAACACGAGAACCATGCAACCGACAGAATACGTCAATTGGTATATAACATTTTTGTAAACTTAATATTACTGTACTTTACTGTGTGGTCCAGTCAATGTTTAAGATACTTTTAGTGAATGAAATACCATTCAACCTTGATGGGAATGTTGTATTTTCAAATACAAGCCTATAGAGCTTCTTATTTAAGTCAACCAGTAAGTATTACACTTCAATTTCTTAAATGTTTGAGAAGTAATCTGGTAACTCAGCGGTTGAAACTAATTGTGAACATGTAAATTATAACTTCGTAACAAATAACACGTTAGCATAAGTTAGTACTCGATATCCCAGAAAGCATAAATTACTTTAAGGTTGGTACGTTCTGTAAGGAAATACGTTGACACACGTGTATCTACAAAAGAAAATAACATAAGATAACCAACGCCATTACAAACATTTATGGAAAACTATTGAATAGTAATAAGCCAGACAGATATGACATCTCATCATACGGTTATTACATTCACAAAACATGTTAAAATAAGTTACGGACTTTATGTGATGGTGAAGAAGTTAAGCGCAAATGAGATTTGAGTTTAGGAGCTAACAATTTTGACTTCGATTCTGTGCTGCCAATAACGTTTTAGAATATCACAAGTACTTTACTTATATAGGAAATATTACATTACATTACATTACATTCAGCTACCTTCCTTTCATTGTATTTATTGCTTAAATATAGTTTAAATACAGATACGTATTTACGTCAGATTATCCGGAACCGTGGTTCCACTGTCAATTTTTTATATGCCGATGTGTTGCACTTTCTAATAGAAACGTGTTTAGTACCACTTTGGATTTTCCCGCCATTGTTAACGGGCAATTTCCTAATCCTGCTTGTGTTGGTGGTAATGTGTGGTTGATGGTGCTGTATGTTAATAGGATGTGAAGGTGACATGCATTTAATATGTAATGTCTTACTCGAAACAGATTTTACATATATTTCTTTGATTTTCAGAATACGTTGCATATAGATCAAAAGAATGGTCGAGCTAG